GAGTGTAAACCTGTCAGAAAAGCTCGTTTCCACAGCTTTGATAGAAACACTGTTTCGTCAGACTCGTTCACCCTGTTTGATATTCAGCTTATTTATACTACAACACTCCACATACATAAGTTTATCCTCATATTTATTCTTTAGTGTTCAAATGAAACATTTTCACCGATTTGGCCCCGAAACAGAAGCGATCCGCTGGGGTCGGGTTAGGGCTGCGTCTCAACCGCACGCCGCACAGTGGTGTTTCCAGAACTACGAGACGCTTCAGATGAGGTGCTGCAGATGCATTTAGGCCTTACCGTTGGGTTAAATAAGCGGCGTCATTTCTAGTGTTGTGGAGGCGCCTCCACGCTTTGATCCTTGCTGTGACGTTGACGTGCTTCTTTGAGTTTGGTCTGGTTCGAGACGACGCTTTGAATCATCAGAGTGTAGTCGCTGTGTCACGCTCGCACCTCCCCGTCTCCTCTGATGCGTTGTGTTTAATTTCCTGGTTTGGGGCTGCTGGTGTTTTCGGTGTGGCGACTGGAACGTCTTTAGAAGTGGCTCACGCCCCTCAGACATTCCTCACACAGCGATGAAGAAATGGAGAAAGATGAAACGGGGGTGGGATGGGTGTAGCGAGAAGTTGGTGTGTCGTTCCTGGATCCGGTGCTAAATGTGAAAGGATCTTATCTGTGCCACGTTTTATTTCGTGTTCAGTGGGTGTGAGAGCGGCGTGCTGCAACGTAGTTTTGCTTCTGCATGCCGTCAAACTGAATAATCTCTCTCTGCTTCTTTCCTTCCTTCTCCTCGTCTGCAGTGTGGATGTACGGCTTTACAGACAGCCCGAGGAAAGAGGCCTCAGGTAGATATGCATGCGCTGCTGTGCTCGCGCGACATGCTAGCTGCATCCCTTTTAGGTTTTCGGTTTATTTCTTTTCGCACTTCAGCTTTCTCTCAACATCTGCTTTGCATGCGCCCCCCTCTTTCCCCCAACCCATCAGCTTCTCTGTCTGCAGCGTTCTCATCCATCTCCGGATGGATGGAGCTGCTGGAGTCATAAAGCAGCTGGCTGCAGAACGTGGACTTCTGGCCTGCATGTGGTGCATGAAGTGCATTGAAATAAGGTGTCAAGTCTGATCTTTCACATTTGTTTTGATTGCTGCCGCTGAGCTCCGTTAACTGTGGGAGTGCAGGAATGATGAGTGAGAAGAACAACAGCTGATGTTCCAGCTGAGAACATTTCTCCTGACTGTATACGAGCGCGTAGCTTCGTGTAGCTTCACGTATCCGAGGCTCAGATGTCAAAAGTTGTTCCTTAAAACTGTCAAAGTGCTGCTTAGGGACAAAAAGTAATTGTAAAACTTTCAAAAACATTATTAACTTAGACAAGGAATGTTTTGCAATCAGTTGTGGAATATCGAAGAAGAAGGAAACCGGTCTTTATTGCTCAGCAAGGCGTGGTTGCCATTACCGCAGCGTAAAGCTTTTAAATAGCTGGATCTGTGCTGCTTTATTACTTCAGGCTGGCTTTGACTGCGTCCTCCACGTACGCTGCTCACTCACTCACACATTAATCCTACTGGAGGAGATGCTAAAGTGGAATTCCCGCCCTCACCCAGCGGTGAAGTAAATTTATGAGCATTCCAAGGTGTTCGATGCCAGTTCTGCTTCACATGCCAAGATGCTTAACTGTGTTTTAGGCGTACTAAAGCACTAAATGCCTAACATTTTCCAAGATGCTTCAATGCTAGCTGCATTCTGTTTACTGCAGGACTAAAGACAGTTAACTTTAACAGTTAACACCCACTGGGGTGTCCAGACTCTCCCCTAGAGATAGGGAGAGGAGTTCGGCTGTTCAGGACAGGCAGCGAGCAGCGTCGCTACTTCATCATCTGACTGCCTCCTGGACTCCTGGGAGGACACATAAACCAGGGGTGGGGACCTCCAGGCCTCGAGGGCGGGTGTCCTGCAGGTTTAGATGAGTCCTTGATCCAACACAGCTGATTTAAATCGCTAAATAACCTCCTCAACATGTCCTGAGGTTCTCCAGAGGCCTGCTAATGAGCTAATCATTTGATTCAGGGTGATATCTAAAACCTGCAGGACACCGGCCCTCGAAGCCTGGAGGTCCCCACCCC